TTCAAATTGCTCTTACATCAAAAAGTCCCAATTTTAAAGTAATTATATCAAACATGAAGCAACATCATGTTTCCAAAACCTGAAGGGGGAAAGTTTTCAATTAATTTTTGTTTGTTCCAATTTAAGAATTTTATTTTGTTTGTCTATTACTATTTTCATGTAACTTTTTTTTTATAAATATGTAAAAGCAAATTAATTCAATAAATAATGTTTATTTAAAATTTATATTGATTGTTTCATGAATTCAGAATGGAGGGGCGTAATATGGACTTACGCAATAATATTTTGGGGTAATGGTTAAAAAAATTCCCCGACCGCTGCTTTACTAGAACTAGAACAAATCCAAAGAATTCCTAACATAACTTAATTCATTTTCAGATATTCAACAAACTTTTCACTAATATTTCCATTCTATATTAAACTTATTTTGCTCTATTTGTGTTTATATTTGTAATTGAAGATGGAAACGTTCATCCCTCTACGCAATTATCAGAATCATCGTCGGGTTTTGCGAAGGATCGATACGCTGGTGGTGTGCAAGCAGTATTCGAATCGAACCCTCTTCTTGCCGCCCTTTATTTGAGCTCCTCGTTGGGTATTCCTCCGGTGTCCACCGGTTTCAATCATGCTCAACATCTTCCAATCAACCCCTACGTGGCACTTCTTCTCTCGCATTACGGCAGATACCTCAACTTACCACCGAATCGCACCTCCAAAGGAATATACGGATACACAGCATCCAACAACTACCACAACAACAAACCCTTTGGTGCCTACAAAATCCAAGAAGATGTCTAACACTATTAACTACTGATTACTTAAAATAAAAATTCATTCTTGTATCAAAGATTTAAATAAATTGAGATTTTAAATATTTCACTGGTTATCTAAATGTAACAATCTTCAGTATGAAATTGCTTTGGAAATACACTTTGAGTGTCTGAAATGAAAGTATATAATAGTTTATATTGAATTGCCTTTATGATTTTCTCTGTGGGTTCTCGATACATGCAATTTCGGTTTAATGAACAATAACATAACTCCGGTTTGTCGCCGTTTCTGCGGGGTTGCTTGCTGCAATGCGGAGGCCAGTTTTCTTCATGTTTGATTGCCGATCTGGGCAGATTTTGACAAATTATTTGCTTTAAAGTGAAATATGAACGGCAAATGGACGACGTCCCACATGGACTACCTTATTTAGTGAGAGTTCGCAGGAGGAAAGTCAAACACGAAGTCTCTCTTTCCCTATCTCTTTCAACCTTTTCCTTCTTTTTTTTTGCCTTCTCGGTTAAGGAGCGAGCGACGTAATTGCGCTGTCCGTCCCTTCTTGTATTACAGATGTACAAATAATGGGATACAGTAAATCAAACAAATTCAACATCCGAACTGCTCCCAAGCAAAAAGGGCGAGTCTCCTTATATTGCTTAGTGGTGTAGTAGTGTTATTTCCAGACGTTGACTTATTGCAACTCGATTCAAATACATCAGTGTCTTATTTGCTTATTGTTGCCCAGAAGTACGTATCAGGTATACCATTTGACTTAGTACAAACGCATCCATCTGTTGTTTAAACTTTAACCCCAAATGATTAAGTAACTTTGAAAATTAATCCCAAGTTAAGAAAAACGTAAGATGCAAAAATTAAGTAATAATTGATATTTTTTTTATAAATAATTCAAGATTTATAAACAAGAAAATACAATGAAATTGTGCTATTTATTAGATTTGGGTATTCTCAAAATATACTTTGGATTTCTTTTTTTTTAAGTTTGAAGATGTTTGCACCACCTATTGTCGAATATCAGAATATTTCGTGGTAATTATGTAATAAATACTTTACTAATATTTATAATTTACAATGAATTCTTGCAACCATTTCTGTACTGATATTTCTTATTTTATTATAAAAATTGTTATTAATTATTACGTAAGTCTGTTAATATAAGTACTTTGTTCAGTTTTATAATTTACAATGAATTCTTGCAACCATTTCTGTATTTATATTTCTTATTTTACTATAAAAATGGTTATTAATTATTACGTAAGTCTGTTAATATCAGTTAATTGTAGCAAAGCTCTCACAGAAGGAAAGTAACAGCTCGCAAAGAATAATTAACAATAAATATGAAACTAATATCTTTTTATAACGATTTTACTAATAAATTAAGATTTGGCAAATTCTTATATAAACTACATTTTTATCTTTTTTATCTACATTTACATCTTTATTAGATTTGGGTATTCTCAAAATATACATTGGATTTATTTTTTTAAAGTTTGAAGATGTATGCACCACCTATTGTCGAATATCAGAAAATTTCGTGGTAATTATATAATGAATACTTTACTAATATCAATAATTTACAATGAATTCTTGCAACCATTTCTGTATTTATATTTCTTATTTTACTATAAAAATGGTTATTAATTATTACGTAAGTCTGTTAATATAAGTACTTTGTTCAGTTAATTGTAGCAAAGCTCTCACAGAAGGAAAGTATCAGCTCGCAAAAAATAATTAACAATGAATATTAAACTAATATTTTTTTTTATAACGATTTTACTAATAAATTAAGATTTGGCAAATTCTTATATAAACTACAAAACAAATTCATTTTCTAGAATAAGTAATACTATTGATATAGCTCCTACCCAACAGATGGCTAAATGCTTGGACTATAGACTTTTATATGTACATGAATCGTAAAAATCTTTTAAAATTTGAATATATAACTTTTATTTTTTCTAAATTATATATCTGCTATTGAATTAGTTAATTACCTCTTAATTAATTATAAAATCTTGCAATTAATTAAAAAATCTCTTTGTCTTACTTAACTTTTCACATATTTAAATGCTTTGTTTCACGTTTTATTGTACCATTTTCCAATGGTTGTAATAAGTTTTTTCCTTATTATGTAAGCTTGTTTGTCTTAATTTTGACTTTAGGGTAAGATTTCATTTGTATATTAGTATAATTTGTATTTCATAATATAAAAACTATTGTTGTTTCTGATCAATACTTTGTCATAAGATTGAATAAGATGGGAATTGCAGGTATACTTTGATTACGTAAGAAAAACATATTTGTGTTCTTGTTTTAATGAAACGTGGTTAAAACATGAAGCATTTTATCCGAATCGGGAATATAAACGTTCAGTAATAATCTCTTTATTTATTAAATAAATAAAAAATACACAGTCTATGAAAATGAAGTTTTTTAAATATATATATTTATATTTTATATAAGTTAATTGTATTTGTATTTATATTCTACGGTTTATGTAAATACACACTCATTCGTTATTTTATTTATTTAATTTTTTTTTTGCGCGCGCGAAAATCGAATCTGGCAGTGAGTAGTCTCTTTGCGAAAAAACCTGTTCGTTAACTACATTATATAAAAACAAAAATTGGCAGTTGATCCGAAGATACTCCTCCTCTAAGTGCGATTCCGCGCACGTTTAGATCCTAGTTCATTCATTCATATTTCGGACGATTCAAGTTGAGTTCCATCAGACGGAAGATTCATCGATGACGGTGATCACTCTGTTGGGGAAGACCTTCCATTTGGTGTTGTTCTTCAAACCGTTCTCTTCCTCCGGCACGTGGCTTTCCTCGTTGGTCATCTTCGACCTGGCCAGAGACCATCTCCTGCCTTTTCTATCCAAAATCACGGGCATTTCGGCAATCAAGTTGTTCTCGAATTCGCTGAGCATCAGGTAGTTCTCCACCTTGTTGCAGGACGTTATGCAATCACCTATGTAGTCTAAATCGTCCAGCAAGTTGTCGGGTAGATCCATATCGGCGATTCCTTCTTCGGAGATGCAAGTCAACTCCTTCTGATCGTTGGAACCGACGATGTTATCTATTAATCCTACAGGTTGATTAGGCGCTAGATCCGCGCCGAGGACTAAAGCCGCTGCGGCTGCTCCTGCTGCGACACCTCCAGGATCGTTTTCGGGTTCCTGCGAGAATGACAACTTCCTTCTTTGTGGACAGGTGTCGGAGACGCACAGATGTCTGGTTCCGTTCTCCCTTGTGTGCTTGTGCCTGGAGATGTTCCTGCGATGCAGGTCGATGAGGAAGAGAGTCAGCGAACCGACGATGACACACGTGGAGCTGAAGTAGTAGCCTGCTCTGTCGCCGCATCGTTCATTCATGTAGCCTAAAATTAAGATTAATTGATTGCACCAGGAATAGAACAGGAATAAAGCGCTGCTTTGTATACGAATCTTATGCTTACCAGAGAACGGTACTCCTATTACGATGGGGATGGCCTGGGAGCATTGCACGAAACCCCACGTCCTGGCGAAATTCCTTGCTCTAACCCTCTCATATGTGTACATCTTCAGCGAATAATGATATCCTCCACAGAAAATACCTGAAAAAAATTGTACAATTTATCACAATGTTGGAAAATTCATAAATTTGTCTTTAATAAAGAGTAATTAAATAAAAAGGTGAAGACAATTTTCAAAAATCAAAAACATTATTTTTTATTTATAATTATTTGGAAAAAAAAATGCTAAATTTCAATTGATTAATAACAATTCTTCATGAAATTGTTTATAGATCCTTATGTACTTGAGAAAAACTTAAACTGTCTTTATATAAAGGGAATCTAATATTGTTTATGAGAGGATTCAACCCTCCTCAAGGAAAACGCTTAGGAAATTCATTCTGATTTCGTTTTATGCTTTTCGTATAAACTATTGAAACGATATTGGAATATCAAATATCCTCGTGAAAATAAGCTAGAAAATTCTATTCGTTTTTTGATACAATCTTATTATGTCTTTATTGAAATTTTAATTGTGTTTTGTTAAAATGTAATTATTATTTGTAATTTGAAATATGTTTATGAAATTACGATAAAATGAATGTGTCTTACCATAAATCCATGCAAACATAACGTATGCATGATAGTTTCCACTGACGACTGTGAAGGCTAAGATGGAGAGGCCACACATGAACACGGCGGTCTGCGTGAGGTATTGCCTGGCGATGCGACATTCCGTCGAGTTGTGCAGAACCAGAGTACTGAAGACCACGCATCCCACGGTCCAGGCCAACCCCAGGTACATCTGTAGAAACACCGTGGAATCTCCAAGACCTTCGACCTCGGCCTGATACGCCAGATAAAACAAAGGTGTGTTGATTCCAAAAGCGCTAATCCCAGTGGACACCAGCAGTATCCGCACCGTCTTGCTCTTCAGCGTGCTGAAGTCGAAGAACGGCACCTTATCCTCGATCTTGTTCTTATCCTTGATCTTACGCTTCTGGTTCTTGATGTGCAGGATGGCGCGCCTCTGCGGATGGTACAACGAAGCAGACCTGTAGAACGTGCCCAGAATGAAGGTGGCGGAGACGGCACCAGTCACCACCTGCAGACCCAACCTCCAACCTAAAGCACTAAACCCAGAACAGGTAAATAATAAAACCGTTAATTTTCAATTAAACCCAACAGTTTTAACAAAAAAATATATACATAAAGGATAAATAATCCTTATCATAACAGCGCGAACAGCTTTATCGCAGCAATTAAAACGCTCGAGAAATTTACGTTCCACAGTTGACGCCTCTCCATGTAACAACTTCTTTTTTTCTTCCTCTCCCCCTCGTAAATTGCAATTCTTCACGTAACTTCGTTGTAGCTGTTGATGTTGTTGTTGTTGTTCTCTTCGTACGACCGAATTTATCCTCACGGTTCGGGCGAGGCGACAAGAGAAAATATGATCCTCTTTTTTTCTTCATCTTCTTCTTTTTGTATCATTATTATTATTCTCTCGGCTGCATTCTTTTTTAATTACCGTTAAATTTATGTTCGGAGCTTTCGATTTACGACCTTGCCGTGGCAAAGTTCACCTGCGATCGTAACTCTCGCGATTGATGGAATTCAGGGAAACCCATCGGTGGATTCTTCCTTGAAGGCGCGATAAATTTTTCCTACAACATCCATCCATCCATTTCTTAGTCTCGTTCGCTTCCACTTGCGAAATAAAAATTAATTTAAAAGCAATTAAAGTTGCGCTCGCTATGTCGACTATGCGAGTGGAGCGAGGAATTCCGCGGGAAAAACTCGATGCGAAAATTAAGAATCATTTTCTCTCTGTCTCTCCGATGCGAAGCCAATTTAATTTCCCGACTTCGTAATGACAGCAAAAGAAAGAGAACAACAACAAAAAGACATTGGTAGTTAATTAACTGCCGGATGGTTTTTTCACATTTCTAGAATACTACAAACTGTAGAAAGAACAATAATCATGGATGTATAATGTGTATAATATAATAATTGTAGTTACATAATGAAAATATAAATAGTTGCTTACCCAATAGTGCTACGAATAATCGTAGACATGATGGCAATTCCTAGTCCACTTCCAGAAACGATGAAAATCTCTACAAATTCCCGTCTCCTCTTAAAATACTGCGCCACCATCAACGTAGAGCAATCCCTCGTAATTCCCACACCGATTCCAACGACAGTTCCATAACTAACACAAACAAATTTCGATGTAAATCGCAACCATTAGAAAACAAAGACAAAATCGATGTTACATAATTGTATCTTAAACTTTGCATGCAATGAAGACATTACGGAAGGGACTTCAATTAAAAGTCCGGAAACTCTGGATTTGGACGATCAAAGTTATGAAGTGCGAATGCAACGTTTATGGTGTGTCTTGCTGTTGTTATTGTTCTTGGGTCATCGACGAAGTTGCGAAATGATTATATGTACCCGCAACCGACGGATTTGTCCTTCTCGAAGAGCCCAAAAACGACTTGTTATTCCACCTAAGCCCTGCGGGAATTATTGACTCCTTACGCAACGAAGGGTTTATTTTATTGCCTACTCGAGGAGGTCGCACCGCGAGCGGTCCAAGAACAAGAACAATTACAACTTTCCCGATGAAGAAGAAAAAAAACAGATAATAAAATAAAATTTGTTATTTTTTCTTGTTTTCCGTAGTTCTTTTACGGCCGATTGATTTATTTATTGATCTTAGCTAATTCTCTAACTCCAGCCTATTCCAAACAAGTAGAGATTCTTTTCAATTTTCTATTAATCTTTGTTTATTACTGATGTGTTATACCTGAAGAAAAGCTGATGGAATTGCGTTGTGAATGAGATTTATTGATTGATCTTAGCTAATTCTCTAACTCCAGTCTATTCCAAACAAATACATCTTCAATTTTCTATGAATCTTTGTTTATTACTGATGTGTTATACCTGAAGAAGAAAGCTGATGGAATTGCGTTGCAAATGAGATTTATTTATTGATCTTAGCTAATTCTCTAACTCCAGTCTATTCCAAACAAGTACGATCTTCAATTTTCTATGAATCTTTGTTTATTACTGATGTGTTATACCTGAAGAAAAGCTGATGGAATTGCGTTGCAAATGAGATTTATTGATTGATCTTAGCTAATTCTCTAACTCCAGTCTATTCCAAACAAGTACATCTTCAATTTTCTATGAATCTTTGTTTATTACTGATGTGTTATACCTGAAGAAAAGCTGATGGAATTGCGTTGCAAATGAGATTTATTGATTGATCTTAGCTAATTCTCTAACT